TTCCTTGAGTTTAGTGCTTGTTTTGTAAAAAAGTTTTTGCTCCAGTATTGGTTTTAGTGATTAGCGGAAAGAGTTGTTGATTTCTTTGATTATTATTCTTTTGTAATTGAATAGTTCTTTATAATCTCTTGTAGTTATTAAAACATCTATATAATAAAATACTCTTTAAATTACGTTCTTGAAATATAAATGACCTCAAATTTATATCAGTAACCTACTTTAACAATATATCTTGTTAATATTGACAAGTTTACTTGATGTGTTAAAACACCTTCTTAAACTATAAAGAACTCATCTTTTTCTTTTATTTATTCTTCTATTCATTATTTAGTTAGTTGTATCTGTATGATCCTATCTAAATACTTTAGAACATTTCTACAATTCTGTGAATTGTCTGCTTAGTGCTTAATATTATTCCAAAGAAATCTTCAGATCTAGAAAATCTAAACAACTGGAGACCAATTTCTTTAGTAAACAGTGATACTAAAATTTTTATGAAAATCTTAGCAAATAGACTAAATATAATATGCCAAGAAATAATCTCCTCACAGCAACAAGGTTTTGTTAGGAACAGATCAATATCAGATGCTGTAATGGATATTATAACAACTCTAAGAAGTTAACAAGACAATACTAAGCAACATTGGATGCTTTTTTTAGATCAACAGAAAGCATTCGATCATATAAGTCATGAGTTTCTAGAACTAGTTCTAGAAAAAATAAACTTTGACAGAAAGTTTATTTCTTTAGTTAAAAACCTTTTTACAAATCAAGAAACTCATATCCTTGAAACAGAAGAACTATCTAAAGCCTTTAGAATAGAAAGAGGAGTAAGACAAAGAGACTCACTTTTACCTCTTTTATATATACTTGCTTTCAAACCTTTGCTACTAAACTTAAAAAACAATCTACAAGGCATTAAGCTAGAACATCAGTTCTTCAAACTTATAGTCTATGCAGATGATCTCATAATAGAAATAAGCTCTCTTACAGACTGATAATATACTTTTAAACTTCTAGAAACTTACGAGCAGGTTTCTAATACAAGAATCAACAAAACCAAAACAAAACTGGCTCCTCTCACATCAACAGCATTCAGAGTAGAATTACTATAGTCAAATGAACTCTATATAATTAAAGAGAACGAACTTATCATAATACTGGATTATAGTATTTACTCTAATAGTCTTCCCAAAAAAGGACCTCTGGAAATATATTATAAGCAATCTCAAAACCTCACTAGATAAACTTGCAAACAGAAATTTATCATTTAAAAGAAAAATTCTACTCACCAATTCACTTATACTCTCTAAAATTTGGTATATAGCTTACCTCCTTCCACCAAATAGAAAGCAGGTATCTGAGATAAACAGACTAACCTCTTTATAGATTAAGAGTAATTCTTGTATGCTTCTGAGATACTTAGTCTTTCAACAATTATACGAGCAACTTGGTCTACAAGCTTCTATAATTAAAGATATGCTAGATACATGACTAATAATAGTTTGGCTTAAGCTACTCTCATCTGAGCACTTTTGGGCAAAACATGAAAAAGACAAAATTAGATCAACTTTTAAGGATAAAAGAGATATTTTATCATTACAAGTATTAACAGCTAACAATATTTGATCTAAAGTTTGGCTTACAGAATGGAAACCCTATCTTCTGGCCTAGAAAAGAGTAGAAGGCAAAATTCTGACTAATACAAACTAGCCTTAGAACAAAGAAGAAATTACATTAAATAACTTTAAAGGATATGAAATTACAGTTAACAAGGTTTTACAAATACTTTGAAAAACAGAGTCTATTCTTTCTCAAGAACATATAATACCAGACTTGCCAACAACAAACTGGCTATCTACAAAATCAATTATAAACAAGAAAAAAGATATATATTGGCACCTCTTTCATAGGTTTCTTCCCCTTGGTTATAGGCTCAAATATATAGAATTACCGGAAGCTGAATTTTGTCCCTAGTGTACTGAAAAACTTCAAACTCTAGAACACTTTGCAATAGACTGCAGTTTGAGTGAAGAATCTAGGAAATAGTATATAGATTTCTCAACATTAATGATTTAATTAATTACCCTTTGACTCTTAAAAAAATATTCTCTGGATCAAGTGCTCAGAATTCTTCTCAAAAACAAGCATTGAACTAGCTTCATATCACAACAATCTATAAACTTTGGTACTGTTATGCTTCACTTAAATGGGCAACAATACTCTTCCTATTTCTACACTCTTAACAATTGTTAAAAATCGAGTGTCTAAAAAAATTCATAGTCTTCACAAAATATACAAAACAAATAGATCGTTAGAAAAAAAAACTTTATATAAATATTTAAAATATTCATTATTAGCTACTAATTGTAAATAAAGAGTACCAACTGCATTCCTAGCTTTATAAAGCTCAGGTAAAAAAAAAAAAAAAAAAAAAAAAAAAAAAATCCTATATTTAAAATATTTTAACTCTTGTACTAGTAAAACAAATTCAATTCTGCAACTTATAAATAATATTTGAATAGTATAGCTATAAAACAGATATTCTTATAGTAGCATTTGATGTATATTAGAGTGTTTGCTATATTTGCTAGGCTAGAGTAACTTGGATCTTTGATCTTTAAGCCAGCAGATATTATATTTCTAATTTTGTATTAGGTAAAAAAGTACTTTGTAGATTTTTCCCTCTCTTCAATCTATTTAGCATTAGACCTAATTTGCTATTTTTTTGAGAGAAATTGTAGTTTTTTTTGAAGCTATGCTTTGGTTTTTTTATATACAGATTGGAGATCTATAAGCCTGTGATCTCTAGTTATTCAGTTGTTTATACTAGTTAGTCTTCTCTTTAGAATTTGAATTTTCTTTTCTGGAAGAGAGTTTTGTTTGGCTGTTCTGATTATTAATTGAATTATGCATTTATGTAGGTCCTACTTATTAAGGTTTTCAATTTACTGAAGTTCTTTGAGAACTTCATCTTTAGTTTCTAAGTTTAAAAGAGATTTTGAATTGAATCTTCATAAGGTAGTATATATAGAGGTTGATTTAAAGCTAATAATGCAGTCAACAAAAAGGTAATCTGAGTTGCTAAACTGTGTTTTTACTTCTTTTTTTAGGAAGCTATAGTTTGAGTCTATGAATATATAGTCAAGCCTTATAGCTATTTTTTAATTATTTTTGGTATTTTAATAGAAAGTTAAAAAAGAGTTATTTGTTAAAGTTTCTGCTATATTAGTAAAATCTATTATTAGATTCTTGACTAGCTCTCTAGAGGGATCATTCTATATTGGTACTTGGCTTATTTAGTCTTTTAGAGAGTTTAGGTTTATGTTGAAGTCTCCTATTATAAGGTTTATATAGTCTTCATCAATTGTTAGAAACCAGCTATTAAAGAAGTTAATTCTGTCTCTTAGATTTGGAGGTACATATATGTTGGTAACTAAGAAGATGTTATTTTTATAAGAGATTTTGCTTGAATTACTCAATTATCAAAAGAGATACTTGCTTTAATAATTTTGGTTTGTTTGTTTATTGCTAGCTAGAATTGTTACTTTTGAAGACTAGAAAGAATCAAAATTCTATTGCTAAGCTAGAAAGTTTCTAGAGTTTGTGTTATTAAGGTTTGTCTCTTGAATTGTAATAATATCTAGATTGTATAATTTTAAAAGAATTAAGAGTTGTAATTGTAATTTTTTTCATAATTAGATAAGATTGTTTTTGAGTTGTTATTATTGATTATGATTTGATCTAATAAGAAAAAGAGCCCTGTTCAGAGGTAGCTACCTCTGTTATTTTTTCTTGTTCTTCTTTCTGAGTATCTGCTGTTGCAGTTTCACTTTCTAGTTTGAATAATTCTAAGTTAGGAGATGAGGTGTTTGTTTTTTGTACTAGGTTAGAGTTGTTGTCTTCTGTTTCTTCTGTAGTATAATTCTGGTTTGAAGAGTTTCTTTTTCACTAGTCATCTTTGTTGATAGAATATTAATTACCTCTTTAGATGTTGTGAGTTGTAATTCTTGTTTAGGTTCAGTCTGAACTTGAATATAGGGGTTTTCTAAACTATGTTCTAGTTGGGTCTCAGAGTAGGTTTGGTTTTTCTCTTTTTGTAATTTTAATTCTTTGTAGTATGTACATAAGGTAATTATATTTTTTAACTCTTCACAATCTTTTTTTTTTTATACAAAATATATCTTTTTATTAAATTAAATAAAGATTATACAAATTATATATCAAAGTTTAGAAATTTTGCTATGCTATCTTTGTCTAAGCTAGATTTTTTAAATGCTAAGCACTTTTGTAAAGTTTTAAGTATTCTTCATAGTTTAGATTTAGCAAGGTCTGAGATAGTACTTGTAGGAATCTTTTGGTCACCTCATTTTGCTATGGTATACCAGTACCAGATTTTATAGATAATATTAATATGAATTCAGAGAGTAGCTTTCTATTTTGTAGAGTAGATGATATTGGATGCAGTAAAAATTTTACTGAAAGAGGAAGGTCTAGAGTCAGTTCCTGTAAGTTTTAGGGTATTGTAACCTGCAGTTCAGAAAATCTAACTGATTTCATAACTGAAGGCAAAGTATTTTGAAGTTTGTAGAGAGTCTTAGCAATTAGAGCAGCATTCGTCTTGATCTTAAGAAATATATTTTATTCAATAGCCTAAGAAAAGGGCTTTGTAGGCTAGTTACCAGAAGATGTCTATTTTTTTGTTTAATTATATATTTCAATTTTATCTAGAAGAAGAGATTATTATTACTATGAGAGAGCTCCACAAGGTTAGAGGTTTCTCTAATTAGGTATAGCTGTAGCAAAGTTCAGTTACTTTTTTAACTAAGAACTTTACTTCTGATATTGTGTTTATTTTGAGATATTCTAGTATCTAGAGCCAGTTGTCTGTAGAGTCAACTTTGCCTTAGAGTCTTTTCTATGCTCTAAGGTAAGGTTTCCATCTCTCTAACTATCCTTTTGATCTAGCAGAGTTCTGGTTGAGTGCAAAATATGTTGAAATATCTCTTGTAGTATGAGTATTATTTGAAATTAGATTTCTTTCTATTCTGCCTATAGATAGTTGCTTGTAAGAAGTTTGATTCAAATAGAGGTTAATCTAGTATTGATAATTGGTGCTAAAAGTCTTCTTAGTTCAAATTAAGCTAAAAGGTTAAGTAGTGTCACCTCCTAATTTTTATTAATCTATATTTTCTATCTATTTTCTATTATATAAAATTTTTTTTACATATTTTATTATTATAGTTTATTTCTAAAATTAGTATATTAAAAAGATCTACGTACACTCTCTCCAGACCACATTAGTTTGGAAGTAGAGTAAAACCAAAAACACGATAACAATCTCCGACACTAAGACAAACAAACTCAAAAAAGGTATCAGGACAAGGGCACTTGCCCTTGTTGCAAGAAAAAGATCTTTTCA